ATTGGCGTTGTAGACAATTGCAACTTGTTGTGAGAAAGGAAGAAAGAGAGAGAAAAAGAGAGTGAATTTATTTGTTACGTAGTATCTAATATTTTTGGTCACTCGCGCTAAAATCAAGAGACATCTGTAAATGACCTGCTATCTAACCAAACTTAATTGCATTAGCAAATTCTTTGTGAATTACTTCTGCGTCGATTTTTTTATTTTAGTCGCTTCTACATTAAATAATTTATTTAGATAAGGATTTTTACGACCGCAGAGATAAATCGCTGCGATTATTTCGCGCGTGTCATGAAAGTATTCCGATTTTTATTATTTGTTCGATAAGATTACGAACTCGTACATGTAAAACAAAATCCGCGAATCAGCTCTTTTACGATCGATTTGTCGCAGGCATTTTTGAAGTTTTTGCTGTCAACCGACGGTTTTTTTTTTTTTTTACTCGCAATTATATCAGCCAACAACGGTTTTTGTAAGGAGCATCGACTCAATTAAAGCGATCGTTTTACTCGCGCGCGAGAGAGAGTTACGCGACGAACGCGATAAACGCCGAGTAATAAAGCTGGCCACATTATGTTAATTAAAACGTTGATATTTATTGAAGACATTCCCGGCTCGTTAACGCGGTTGCGCGATTTCTCGGAGAAAAACACAACAACGTCGCGTTGCCCTTCCGTCGTCTGCGTCCCGACGCGTGCAGACGACGACTCGTTTACTTTAATTACACGAGGTAGCAAACAAATGATCCGTCGCGCGCAAAGGACCGGAATTAATAGAGTGACGGGTTTCGCGTGAACACGCGCGCGCGCGCGTAAAATGAAAACCTCCACTAGTCTTGCACGTGCGCGTAATTCGCCGAGGAAGGGGACTTGGAAAATTGTATTATCCATAAATACTTTGCGTTACGCTTTAAAAAGCCAAATTTTCCTGTTGCGTGCCGCGAAATTTATTTTCGGGACCGCGTGCGCGACGATAAAATGTGTACCTGTTACTCGATGACGCGTGTACAAGAGGGGATCGCACACTCTCGGTGCTCGCGCGAGCGTGTGTGTGTGTGTGTGCACGCGTATGTACGCGCGCATAAACTCATAAATCGCGAAATCCGTTTTAAAACTTTCGAAACGGTGGAGGTTGAAATTAAAAGCGATAACAACGATGCGGCACCTAGGATTTGTCCGGGCAATAAAATAAAAAAACATCACGCGCCATTTTATATGTATTTATAATACACATACGTATTATATATGTATAAATGCGCACATACATTTTTTTTTTCCTATAATTCAATTTACGCGACATGCGTTATATGATGCGGCGTGTGGGATTAAACCGCAATTTCAATAATGGCGGCCTGAGCGAAATTCATATCAACCGGAGAGCTGCTGCGCCGGAGTACGTTACATAACAGAACCGCATGAAACTTGGTTGCCAAGAACAATGCGCCGCTGCTTATTGCATTAGGTTAATAACTGTTCGATATTTCTGTCAGTTATTATCTTCCCTTAATGACCGTATATGTAATTTAGCGTGTACGCGTTCTCCGAAATAAATGCAGTGTGCAAACTGTGCAAACACACTCGTGTTTAAACATAGCGACGTGGTTCGATGCGAAAAAATAATATCGCGCGCACAGACATTTGACCGGCTAAAATAACGCAATTTTCTAACCGAGATGTGTCGATAATGATTATTTACGATAATAATATCGAATTGAACGCGCAAAGCTTTTTCCAAGATTTGTCGATAAACACGATCTATCCGACCGCAACGCGTGCCATGGTTGGAATAGCAATTAGACGAGAGCTGATGACAAGATATCGCGTGACAGAACCAACGTAAAATGAGCGGCGTAGTTTACTCAGTTGCATGTGTGCATACACGTCAGAGAGAAAAAGAGTGATCAATGACGCGAACAGCGCGAAAAATAGTAGCGTATTGTTCACACCTTCTCTTGTTTTCTCTCTTTCTCTCTGTGTCTCTTTTGTGTGCTAATACCGTCCCAAATGTTTGAAAACCGTAGCGATCAAAGCGCAATATTTATTCGCACTCTACATTGTACAACGCGTTTCTACAGTCTTACACAGATCATACATACACGTATCAATTGTGTATTAATCGAATACTGTTGATAAATTGAATCACACGTTGAACAAATCGCACGCCTTTTTATTTTTGCGTTTATTTCACTTCTAATGTACGAGACGTGAATAACTTCGCGATAAAAAAAAACAAAAAAAAAACAAAAAAAAAACCATATCAAGTAAAAACTTTAATTAAAATTTTAATCAAACTTTTGATATTGAAATAATAATAACGGCACGCGAGATGTGGTTTGTCGCAATTATCGTAAAAGACGCGCGTGCTTAACGCGCGCGCAAATACTGAAATAAATGTCATCGAAATGTTAAATCGCAAACTGCCCGTAGCCATCGTCAATGAATATTCGACCGAAGCGACCGCGGTGATCGGTCGCGATAGTATTTATGATAATACGTTAAACGTATTAGAGAGAAGAGAAATTCGCGCGCGCGTGGTATGCGCGGCGCCGCCACACGTGTGTTATGAAAACACGGGTATTACAATTTTCACCGTGCACGCCCATATAGTGCAAAGGCAGTCTCGCGATATTACGCGCGCGGATCGTCAGGGATTTATGCACTATACAATGTAGCACACATAGCGCGCCTCTGCGCGCGTTCAGTAAATACAACTATTAATAGCTGCACATCGTGTCCACGATAACACATCGAACCTGTTCGCGTTTTCGGGTCGCAATATAATGCGAGTCATCGGTATCAGTTATCTCGCAAAGATACGTAGTTAATTTTTTTAACCAAAAAAAATAAAAAAAAAAGTTGTAGAAAAATTATTTAAACTCGTTAGCATTATTTTAAAACAAATCTGAAGAAATTCTTTCTCGAAAAGATATACCACACCGGTCTCTCCCTATGGGATTTAGTCTTTCGTATGGTGTGAAGGACATTAATCCTTCTTCCCCCTTTCGTGTGTTGGAAAAACATCTTGATAACGCTCGCAAGACGTCACACGAGCAAAAAGAACGCAAACTTACGCTCAATTACACAAGCATGCATTTCAAGTAGCGTGAACGATTTTCCTTAATTACTGAATCTCTTCTAGAAGCGAGTTGATTACACTCAGACACGTGAGTGTGTTTTGCTTTCCTGTTTTAAAATTGTGGATACACAGTATCGCAAAAGAATTATTACGTTATTCCTGTGGATTTCGTGCAAAATGCATAAGGAGTGAAAGAGAGAGGGAGTGAAAGAGAGAGAGAGTGACAGCGTAATTTTGAAAAATATATACGCCACAAGAAAAACATATCGTTCACTTCAGACGTAATGTTCCGACGTGCCAACGAGCTGCTGCATCGCGCGAGGTTGCATACGCCCTGAATTATTTATTCAATTTGTTTTGAGCTCTCTCGCGCAATATCCGCGAAAGATTTCTCTCGAAATATCAGGATGCCAATATCAGATGATAAACTTTGTGTTCGATCTGCCTTACATATCAAGAGAAGGACAGCACGCGCGCGCTCGCGCGAGCGCATAGTTTGCAATATGTCGTTATATTGCGAACAATACGCGAGCATCTAAATTGAAATTTCAACTTTAAATTGAAACACAAATCCATCGTAACCTACGGCAAAAAATCTGGCATTGTCACTTCTTTTGTTTTTGGTAGCCGCTGCCGCCGCCGCCGCCGCTGCTGCAAGCACGGATATTTCGCGCGCGAAAATGCACAAAAATCCGATACGTCCATATTTATATTGACTGATCCGCGCATTTTCCCTCCGTGCTTCTTCACGCAGAATTTTGCCCGGGATACCGTTATATCGACATAAAAATACATAAGCTCTCCAACGGGCGCGTTTCAATTATTCACAGGCTCGCGATTTTTGGTTCATCAAAAAATCGACAACATAATCCCGCTGTTCGTGTAATCAGGTTAATTGTCTCTTTCTCTCTCTCTCTCTCTCTTTTCTCTCTTTCCTCTCACTTTCACACAAAAAAAGAACTGAATATTTCACGACTAGAACTCGCGTGAAGTGTTTTCTATATTTTGTCAATAAATCACAGAAAGCACTTCGTCTACTTGCGATTACGTTTTACATCTATGTAATGGCGACTTACCGCAAGACCTCTCATACCTCCCATTGACGAAGCTCAGGATATCTCCCATCTTCAATATCTCGTCGATAGTCCAAAATAATCCATGCGATATTCCCGATGTCCAAAGCATTACGGGCGATAATTTGATACGGCTTCGCAACGGCGGCCATTTCCATCTCGCGACACAGTAGTATTAACGTTGGCGCAAATTAACCAGCTTATATTAACGGTAATTATTCGAGATTGAAGAATCGAGACGCGAACGTCGTTTACACGACTGATTTCCGAACACAAAGACGCGTACCGAGGACTCTCGCACCACATACACACAGTATTTTTTCATAATAATTACTGACGATCTACATCACGGTCCGCGCGCGAAAGACTGCTGTGTGTCTCCTCCCTCAGATGTCTCGCTATAGATTTTTAGTACTTGAATAACGGAACGCAATGTATTGTGTGCGTCTCCGAAGCAAGAAATATAGTATATAATCTTGACAACTATTTGTGTTGTTTCTTTTATTATTCGAGAGAATTATTTCTGTTGTAAAATAATTTTAACAACCCGCTCACATGAACGAGAGATGCGTATCGCAAGTATATTGTTTTTATAAACTTGAAATCTAAATTGCAAAAGATACACAATGTTTCTTTCTTTTAGATCGAAGCTGAAGGAAATATAAAAGATGTACTTCTTTAGAAGTAAAGTATATTTTCATAAGAAAACTGTAATACCAGCTGAGAATAGACTTCATACGCATATATTTTCCGAACCTCTGCACAGAAAATAAAAATAGAAAACACATGAAAAAGTAGAAAGTTGTTTTTCTCTGCTTTTGTTATTTCTGTTTGTTCTTATTTGACATTTTCGATGGTTGTCAAATGACAAGCAGGTTATAAAAATTTGTATCAAAATTGTTCGTGTCAAATAAAATGCGCGTTGGCAAAATTATTCGTTAAATGAGATACTTTATTAAAATATTTGAAACAATGTTGTTAAACATACTGCAGCGCTGTGTTTATACTCACAGCTCGCGTCAGTTGAAAATATTGTCAGTTTGCAAGACTTTAAGATTACCGCTGTCCACTTCGGCAATTGCAAATGCGAAGGTATAAAGCATAGGAATAAAACAAGAAAGAGAAAAACCAGTAGTATATAAATAAAGATACAAAAAATATATCTATACATTTTTATATATAATATAGATCTTATCTTTATATATAAGATCTTTATATACAGATAGATAATATAAAGATAGATCAATAATAATTATTAATTTTAATTAAATCTTTCACTTAAAAGAGAATAGATTTTCGAAATTGTTAATTTTTGTTTTGTGCAAAGCAAGAACATTTAAATATAAGCAATTGCGTTTCTTTGCGTGCATGACACACATATACAGGATGACAAATGTAGTAGCAGCCGTAAGGAAAATTACAGAATTGAGAAAGACTCTTTTGGCGAGGTAAAAGTCCCAGCGGATAAATATTATGGTTCTCAAACTCTTCGCGGGATGATGAATTTTCCAATTGGCGATCCCGTAGCTGAACGCGTTCCTGTAAGAAGCAACGTCATCATAAAAGATTGTCGCACTTATCTGCCGACATATTTTTAAAATCTGATGCAATTGTTGACGCAATTTTTGCAGTGCGAATTAATAGTCGCTATGGGTATAGTGAAAAAAGCCTCCGCTGAAGCGAACAAAGAATTCGGTTTAGATCCCAAGATCGCCGATGCAATTAGTAAAGCGTCGGACGATGTAATAAGCGGAAAGTTGTACGACGATCATTTTCCTTTACTCATGTGGCAAAGTGGAGCTGGCACGCCAACTCACATGAACATTTGTGAGGTAACCATTTCTGTGTCAACGTTACGCTTAAAAACAACTCACAATAAATATTTAATTGAATTAACTATCGACGCTCACAGGTTATTGCCAATCGTGCGATCGAGTTACTAGGCGGCGAGCTCGGCTCAAAGAAACCCGTGCACCCGAATGACCATGTTAACATGGGACAGAGCACCAATGACTTGATTCCGACAGCTATGCATATAGCTATCGCCACGGAGATCCACGATATGTTAATTCCAAGCTTAGAGTGTCTGCGCGAGGCGTTGAAAGAAAAGGCCGAAGAGTGGAAAGACATCATCAAAATTGGCAGAACGCACATTCAAGATGCAATCCCGATGTCATTGTGTCAACAATTTTCAGGTTTACATGCGATCTATTTATTTTAAATCCACGGAGATAATTATCCTAATATCGAATCGAGACTTAAAAAATACTCTTCTGATTATTAAGATAATTAACTTCTCAGTGCCAAATATGGGTCTCCGAGATTCGCTCAAAAGTTTTAAATCAGTGTCTCTACTAGGTATTAATTTAGCGCGACATCTGAAAGACATGAAAAAAACTTTAGGGCCTTAGACAATGATAGAAATCGTTGAAAGATTAATTAAATCAGTGTACATTTTATTAAGTTGTTAAAAATTCTTCAATTTTTTTTCTCCTAGCTTACGCCACACAAATCGAATACGGCATTCAGAGAATAAAAGCCACAATGCCGAGATTATATCACATAAACATTGGTGCTACAGCCATTGGAACTGGGATGAATGCGCATAAGGGCTTTGCGGAAAAAGCGGCTGCGAGAATCGCGCAGCTAACTGGTTTGCCGTTTGTTGTGGCCCCAGATATGATTGAGGCTACGGCCTCAAACGACGTGATTGTCGAAGTGCACGGCGCTTTTAATGTGGTGGCTGTTTCTCTCATGAAGGTGATCTACGCGTAATGGTTGTACACAGAAATGCTTACTATTGTTTTTTTTTTTTTTTTTTTTTTTTCATATATTTCATGCGTTCTTTTACAATTTCGCGTTTAGATCTCGAATGACATCAGATTTATGGCGAGCGGGCCTAGATGCGGTTTTGCGGAAATATTCATTCCAGAAAACGAACCCGGAAGCTCAATCATGCCCGGGAAAGTAAATCCCACACAAACCGAACATCTTACCGCGGTCTGTTGTCAAGTAATAGGTAATAATGTGGCGGTTACCGTCGCCGGCAGCAACGCTCACTTTCAACTCAACGTCTTTAAACTCGGAATGGCCACTAACACCTTGAGATCCGCGAGGCTGCTCGGTGATTCCTGCTTCGCATTCACCAACAATTGCGTGGTAGGCATAGTTCCAAATGTCGAGAACATCAAGAAGATGCTGAACGAGAGTTTGATGCTCGTCACAGCATTGAATCCGCACATTGGTTACGATAAGGTTACTCAGATTTTTTATGAGCGTATTGAAAAGAAGCTCTTTAACCCTTTCGCTAAGGCTAAACTAGCGTGGAGCTGCACAAACAGCTTTCTGTCGCGAATTAACAATATTAGTATAAACTAAAAGAAAAAACGTGTAAAAACATTCCCGTAATGTGATAACGTTGTATACGGCTTTCAATACGAGATAAAAAAGAGAGCCACTATAATGGCTATTTGTTCTAAAACGCTTAGCGGGAAGCCACTATAGTGGCGTTCTAAGAGATCACCTAGCGGGAAGCCACTGTAGTGGCGCGTAGGGCTTAAAGGGTTAAAATGTGTTCGTTTTAATCTCGCGTATAAAATTTTATTTCGCAAGAAGAACAGTAAAGGATCTTTGCACCTGTTTACAGTCCGCTGCAATAGCTAAGCAAGCGCTTCAGGAAAAACTCACGCTGAAAGAAGCGGCGCAGAAACACGGAATTTCCGCCCAACAATTCGACCAGTGGGTCAGACCTGAAGAAATGATCCATCCGAAATAAATGAAATAGTACGAGTAAAATTCTTGTGTGTCACGTGTGTCCGTGTGTTTCTCTCACCTTGATCATGAAATTGTTATATAATTTCATGTACACATCAAACGAATAAAACGGTGAAGTATCGCACAGTAGTGGTAGGAGATATATAACATCTTTACCCTCCGCGTACGCGTATAATGAGCACATAGACATGACGATAAACGAAGTATGTATAACGACGAAAGAAAGCAGAAGCGAAAAAATGACGTAAAGGCAAAAACATTTTTTCCCGGGCGCTCTTCCACGCAGCAAAAAACGAAGCACGCGAACACAGAAGCGCTAAAATGCACGACTCTGACAGGCACTTCCGCCTCGAGAAGGTTTTTGTTAATTGCTAGGGGCGCTACGCGGAACAAAAAGACGGGGAAAGAGGAAGGGAGTTGCCACTGCGCTTTCACAGTACATACCCCACGTTTCAACACATCGAAACGCAGAAACTATAAAAATTTTGCAGATTTAATAAAAATCTTTTCACGAAATATCAAATGTTATTTAAAAAAGTAAAATTTTCAGGAACTTTAATCAAACTATATTGCAGTACCGCGCCGTGACTTTGTCATGTAACTTTCTACCGTAAATTGTAGCTGAATGAAAAAGTATAAATTTGGAATTATTCGGAAAATACCGAAATATGGAACAGATGCGGGATTTGCAGTTTGAAAATGCATCAATTGACAGCTTTACACCGACAATCTGCATGTGCAATAAATCCTATTATATACGTACATACGTAAAAAAAAAGAAAAAAAAATTGAAAACACGTATATCTGTTTGAAAACACGTGACAGGTTGTGCCTATTTATCAACACTGACGGAGACTAGATTTCTCAATTATTTTCGTAGTTCATTAATAGGTAGCGTGGGGGAGAAAGCATATGCTTTTAACGAGTCACGATTCACCTGATGCAGCCACATAAATTGCAATTAACGGTATTCTACCGTGAGCGACTCGCTGACGCGTCGTGATATTTCGTAAACAGAAATGAGGAGAATTTATGTTTCCAGTTATACCAGTCTGCGTACATACAACGTGGAAGTTAAAAGTATCTTGCGCAAATTACAAATTTTTTATCATTTCATTGATCAAGATGTGTTGTGCGCAATGCGCATTTGGCGTTTTTCACAGATTACACAACGGTTGACATAAGAGAAATAAAAGCGCGGATCCGTGTGTGTTTGCGACAAACTATAAAAAAAAAAAAAAAAAAAACAGAAAACACCGCGGTCGGTCATCTCGCAAAGCTCTCTTCCTACGTCAAGCGCAATACAATTATTATCAGAAAAAGAGCGATGAAACTGTTTACCAAATACGGAGCGCGATATATATATATATACGCGAAACGCGCGCAAAAAACGGAGCTCGAACGATTTTAATATTTCAGCGAGTTCGCGGAGAGAAGACGAGCGGCGTTGTTTAATTATCTTGATTACAATGCTGCTGCGCGATCCGCTGATTGCGCCGAGGTAAGAGAACCGTCGGGGTCGTTTAACGAACTCGGCCCTTTGATCTTCACGCCCAAGTTCTTAATTATTTTTCCCGTCGCTTTCAGGAGATCGCGCGCAAGTCTCGGACGGCCAACGATTTGTCTAACCCGATTCTCGATCCGCCCGCGCTATTTTCACCGCGATTATACGCGAGCGCTGGCCCGAGAAATTTCCTCGCCCGTGTAGGCGTGATAAGAGTTTTACAAAAATTGACCGTTTTCCTCTCTGGATTGATATTTTTGTGCTGCGCTTCCTTTTCTTAAAATATTTTCTTTGCCACACGCCACGTCGAATAAAGCTGATTTGAAAAATCGAAAAAGTTTAAAACACACACCACAAGCGGAAATAAAACTTTTTCAATTTATAATAACGACAAAATGAGTTTTCGGATCTGACGTAGAAATGTCACACGAGTGTAAATAAAATACATTGGCTAAAAGCGGTTTTGTAATTGACATATTTGTCGGCATGTGTACCAAGAATTATATTGAAGAGATGGAAATACAGTTTCTTTTGTATTTCGCGATCAAGAACAAAGATCGACACGCTAAGAGGAAGAAAATACGTTTGCTAATTATCGTGCTTCTTCTTTTATCGTGCTTGTAATTGCTAATGTAATGCACCACGCGGCGATGGTCGCTGCATGCTCTTGTTGATGCAGAAACACAGATTTCTGCATTGTGCGCACAACTGAACACACTTGGCGCATTCCGTCCTGTTCGAGGAGCACGAAACGAGGCGTAATAGACGCGCAGGCATGTCCTGTTTTATAACGCGGGAGGATGTGCGCAGCTCGTGAGACGCGCTCGCACGCGTTATCACGATAAAACTCGCGCGAGTCATCGTGCCTCGGCTTTATGTTCTCGCGATATGGGGTCGGTCCAGTTGAAGAAAGAACACAGAAAAATCACGGCGCGGTTACAACGACGGGGACTATCTGAAATCTCTAAGAGGCTCTCTCGACGTCGTTTCCCCGCATTATGGCGAGTCCACGTCGGTCGTTGTGTACATACCGGCGCATTTGTCTTTTCTGAACCAGTTGCGCCGCGGCCAATGTACGACTGTCAGGAAACCTTGAGGGAGATGCATGCATTTCCGCTGGATAAAACGATACAAATTGCTGCTTTGGGGCACTTGGCTTTCGCGAGAGCGGCGATTAGAAGAAGGCGACGCACGGCTCATTCCGGCCGCTTTGACATTTTTTATCGTGTGTTCTCTTTTATCTTATTCAATTGCAAAAGTGACTCTTACAATGTTATCGCGCACACTTGTTTACGTCATTTTGTCCAAAACGTATGTAGAAATAAAACAATCATGTTTGAATTATAATCTAATCGAATTCAAACGGAACACACATCTATCGAACGGGAAAAAACAGTGTCTCTCGATTGTAAAACACTGCATTACACGTGGCATTTTTATATTGCAAACAAAGTATAAATTTGTTTATACGACTCCAACTGGTGACAGAAAGATTTTTGAGAACGTTACCATTTGCATATTTATTTATGCATCGAGAAAAATGTTTTTTTTATACGAATTTTGTATGTGTAATGCGACCGAAGTGTGTACGATCGATGGCCCGCATTTAATTTCTAGGATCTGTTAACGAATGCCGCGGCTCTCGGCTTTGCTAATACCACACCGTGGAAGTAACCATTCATATTTCACGCTGAATATTTATGAGGTAATATATGTAATATCTAAAATTGTGTTGGATAAATTCGCGCGTTGCGCATAACCGGGCTCTACTGGGGCTGATCGGCGATCGGAATATATATATATATATATACATATATACGCGAGAGCGAATGCTTATCTAAATTGTAAAAAGGCTTCGGGTTATTTCCATGCTCCGTACAGTTCGGAGTCAGACCGCGTTGCGCCGCCGTTGTTACGTGTGGGCGAATATATTTATTTTTGCTTGACTAGTTACACACCCGCTAACGAACCACCCACACCGTCGGAAATTCTTAAAAGTGTAATATATCCTGCGGGAGAAACGATATTTTACTGCTCTCGGTTACGTTACAAGCGTCGCCACTTTAAAATAATGGAGTGAGCGAGCGAATACTTTGGCGGTCACAAAGTATACCCTTGTCGTGTCTGCCGCGAGAGGTCTCGCATATTGATGTGAATTTGATTATGAGAAATTATATCTCTCGCCAACACTTTTTAATTATGGCGACTAACGGCACCGAGTTTGCGGCGGAGAAAAAGTTTTCCGAAAAGGTCACGTGTGTGCGTGAACGGCAAAACATTTTAATAATACATCTCGTGTGTAGAAATAATATATCACAACATTTATAACGCGCAAATTATATTTGCAAGATATTTGCAATTATAATTATAATTTATTCAATCGTACACGTAAAATAACCAATATCAATCGGAATAATTTCGATGCGCGTTTTATAAATTAAATACGGAAAGTGCGTTTTTTTTTTTTATATATATATATATTCTTGGTGAAAACGTCCGTTATTAATTATCACAGAAGAGATTTGGACCGATTCGAGGATAACAAATCAAAAAGCAATTTGTTGTCCAATTGATCAATTAGCGCGGGATCCAAGAAGCTTTTCTCTCACGCTCGTATTTCAGGTCAGTTCGCGTTACTTTTCCTTTAGTTCCTTTGTGCGCGATCCCGCATTTATCTCTGCTTGGCGAACGAATCGCGTCTGACAGTTACGGAAGTGAACAATAGTTCGGCGCTTCTCCGCCGCATTGTTTGTATACATAATCGAGAAGGTTTAGCATTGATTTCTCCGTTAGAGGATGCACGTTAACAAGCCGTCACACGCAGCCGCTTTGCGTGGAGCGAAACGCTAAAACGCATAGAGCGGACCCGGTCGCATTTCTGCGGCCCTACAAGCATTGCTTGTTATTGCTACTCTGGACTGCGTCTGAGAAACATGACGGCTTTGAATGGCGCTCAGAGACGAGGGATCAAATGATTCCCTTGTTAAAGACAATGGCTGTTTGTGAATCGATGTCACATGATGTGTCTGTTTGCTGACAGATCAATTAAATATTGATTGAAAAATTTATTTGTTGATTTAACGTGATTGTTTGTTGATACAACATGCCGTGTATGATTGTTGGCAATAAATATTCAACATTTATGTTTTCCTGTAAAACTCATAAACTGATGTATGATAAAATTGTATAGAGATATTTTAACCGTACGACACAGACTTGAAATTTGAGAACTTTGGAAATATGTCGGAGAGAGAAGATATATATATATATATGTATAAAATAAGAAATATAATATTAATTATACAATTTCTATCTCAAATTTCGAAATTGTAATTACGTGTAGAAATTATAATTATAACAACGTAACTTAATTCTGTATTATTCAATTTCTTCTCCGTTAATATTCGATATTACGGGGAGTAAAACAAAAATCGCGATCTCTATTTCGGAAAGTGAACTTACATACGAAACGCGATGTGATGTTAAGTAGAAACTAGACGGATGAATGCGAAATGAGTTATTATACCTTGCTCGGTGCGCAAAGGGACAGAAAAAAAATATCGACGTATACACATTTCCATCGTATTTCACAGACTTCCTCGCGCGGATGTGA